GGTTACCTTGTCAATGGCATTATTTTTGAATAAATATGGACTGTTGATTAAACCGGCGCACAAAACACAACAAACCGTTGATTCTCCTGGATGAAATGTCAGCTCTTGAATCTCTTCAAGTCCTTGTCCCAAATACGGCAATTTTGCTTGTTTACATACCCATTGGGCCTGAAGCTGAATAAAATTTGGCTCGAAAATGTCGGCTCTTTTTGGATATTGTAATTTATCCGCTTTTTGAAGTTATACTCCATAGTCCAGATATTTGTTTTCTAATTTTAAATTTGAACTCATTGAAACAACATTATTAAACCTTTCATATCAGAATAAAAGTGGCCGTGGTTAAAAATATTTTTAGGGCACAAGGTTTTTAGTTGAGCCTTGAATATGAACTTATCTCTGCTGGTTTTAGCTTTGCTTATAAGCAACAGTGCACCGTGGTAATACCTTCATTCATTTTTAAAACACATATTGATTTATATATTACCTTTATTAATTTTCAATATATTTGATGTGAGATATGAAACTTCCCCGCTGCAGCGTTTGGGACCCGCCATGTAAAAAACGCCTCTAATGAAAAGGAAGTTGTTGTTAATTCGGCTTTAACCGCCAGTAAAGATGAATAAGAGTTATACCGCAAAACAGTTTTTTGGGGATTGCTACTTAAGCGTACCTTACATTTTGAGCATTTGGATTTCGGAATGGCGGTTTGGCAAAGTCTACACCTTCCTTTTCCTCCTCATTCTATGGGGAATGATCATTTCGATTTCGAGTCATGGATTTTGGTGGTTCAGAAATGTACGATCGCTTTGATGATGACGTATATAAAATGTCTGGCACTGAAAATGATGCTGGTGATGCTGGAGACGCTGTTTGAATTATCGAAGCAATTGCTTCTGGACGACCTCTTTTCCGTGGATTCATTTGTGTAATATTAGACGTGTGTAGGAACTCGTTTTGAATACTCAGTTGGAAATCTAACAATGTCAATGGCTTTGTATTTCCATACTATAATCTCAAATTACGATGTAATATCATGGCTTTCATTTGCATGGAATAAAGATTTGTTTCACTGCAAATTTTGTCTATCATTTAATCATCAAAGTAGTCATTGAAATAATTTATTGGATCCTCAACTGTTTGCCAAGTAGTTCTTCTATCCAAGCAGTGTCGCCATCGGCTGTACCAGTGTGCCTCCACCTCAAACTCTCTCAATTATCTTTTTCTAAATTCACCGTCACAATATTTTCCACTTCATTTTGAAATATACGTTTTATTTCTGCTTCTCTAAGACCTTTTGGTTCGAGTGCTAAAGGAAAAAAAAAATATTATTATTATAGACTTTTGTTGCTTATAAGCAACATTGTGTATTGCTGATACAAAACTAAATATTATTTTTATGCTTTACAAATTTATCTTAATTTTAGTACCCTTTGTGTATAATAAAATTTGTATATTAGTTAGGAACTCGACTACGATCAGCATCCAAATAAACACGTGTACTGCTTTTAACATATAACTTCGAAAACGATTGCTTCAACATATGTATTGCAATAAAAAAAAAAGACGTTATCAAAAATAACAAAAATTTAGGAACTATAACGGAGAGTATACGGACAAAAGTTCAATTTTTGAAACAATTTATAATAAAAAATACTTATTTTTTTAACTTTAATTGATTTCACTGGAAAAAAGTTCATATTTCAAAAAGTAACGCCATAATCTCATACTTTGTCAAAAAAGCCTTGCGGTATTTTTATTGAATTTTCAATTGTTCATTACATTTTTTTTGATGACTCATGCCCAGCTCTTGACCAATGCTACGGCTGCTACTATGCCGGTCTCTTTCGACCAATTCAGCGATTTTATCGCAATTTTCGACGACAGGCCTTTCGTTGTGGGTAGAAATGGAAACTGTATCGGGTCCATAAACTGCACAAATTATATTGGCGGCTTAAGATGCATTTTTTGCCTTTATCGTAGTAGAACTGTAAAATATGCCATATTTTCTCTTTATTTTGCTCCATGTTTGCGACGCGATAACTCACGAACGACTTAAAAGAAACGACAATCAATCAAACACGTGTTAGCGCGTGAAATGAGCTTTCCAAAAAGGTATAGCATGACCCGATGCGACGAATAAAACTAGAACTACGCGCCCTCAGCGCCAACTAGCGAAAATACCGCAAGACTTTTTTGACAAACAATATAAACAAATTTTCAGATCGGACTACTATGTAGCTGACATACGAACTAACCGACTACAATTAAGTAATTGTATGGAAAACTTTATTAATTAACAAGATAACTTCACGAAATTTGGGATGGAATATTCTGAATAGATCTACAATCTGTCATACCTACTGACCGAACAAAATCGAGTTCTTGTAACTTTTTTATTTGTGAAAGGCATACTAAATACAATTATTACGACCATAAAATGTCAAAAGCTCACGAAGAAATTAAATAACTTGTAAAAGTTCATCTTATTATTGACTGCAATGAAAAAAAAAAAAATGCAGACAATCACATATTGGAAAGGACGAAACGAAACTTAGAAATCAAATCATCCTTATAGGAAAACCTACATAAGTATGTTTTGGTTTTGGTTTTGGTTTGGTTTTGTTTGATGGCTGATCAGAGATCACACTTAGACTAATAATGTAGTCCTTTGTGATGCCATAGAAAAGAACTCCCGTGTTCGAACTTACAGATTGGCGAAGCGCTTTGTAGCCAATATATAGTTACACAGACTTCAACACCCGCCATTTCGGTGGGATGTCCAAAGGTATGCGCCCCCAAGTGTCTAAGTCTTGACCTCCCAAACGCGGGACAGTCAAGCAGGAAGTGCTGACTTGTTTCCACCGCATCCTCTTCCAAACAGCTTCTACTGTCAGCTTCCAGTAAGATATCCATTCTTACCGCATGTAAGCCAATAGTACAGTGGCCTGTTAAGAGTCCCACTAGTAATGAGAGTGATCCTGCGATCTATCCTGGGCCAGAATGCCTTTGCAATGTATGTTAGCCTTAACCCTTTATTTTTGGATTGGAACATTAACCAAGATAAAACATAAAATTATTAAGAGAGAATTCTAAAAATAATTTTTAAATGTGACAGATTTTGAGATTGAAGGATTCTAAAAATAAATTTTAAATGTGAGAGGTTTTTCTCTAATAAATATCGAGTTAGTTTTATGCGACTCTGTGTGGAGTATTATCCAGACTTATTGTTTCTATTTTGGGAGGATGTAAACGTGAAAATCTTTTAGTAGTATTGTCTTTAATTGATAAATAAAGGTTACATGTGGGCACTGCTAAACGAAGGACCTTTTTTTTTATCAGATAATATGAAGGCATTTCACATATGTATGTACATAAATGAAATGAGAAACTAGTCAAAAGCCGCATAAGGTTTTCCTTCCCTAATACGAGTAGTCGAAATAATTTAAAATCTCGGTAGTTTTATTCAAAAATCGGTGTCGGTATTTAAATTGCTGTACGCTTGGCATTTATTATATTAAATTAAACTGGCAAAGCAAGAATAATTCAGAATGAAATGGAAGAATTTTAACGTCACATTTCACCCACTATCTGATATAGCCGTTTTATATAAAGCTGAACTAAGATGGTTTTGCTTTACAAAATGCATGTACCTTGAGTTGTACAGTTCAATTGGTTGTATAATTTAGTAAACTTGAGATTTGTCCGGTGTATACATTATTACGAACCGGTTTCTATATTTGTCACTCATAGTTGAGATATTAAATTTTTATTCAAATTATAGCGCACTTTACATTGATATACAAATATGTAACGGGTGATCCAGGTACAGGTACTTTCTCCCATACCCTTTTTGGACACATAATGCGTGAAGTGTGTCAAGCTGAAAATGTTATTTTTGTTCAGTATTGTTTGACATTTCATCATGGAAAGACTTATGCCTAAAAACGTTTACAAATCGTTCAACTTTAAGAAAATTCGCGTTCTATAAAGAATGCGAGCTTCGCTCAACTTATTGTCAACATAATCGGCCTACTGAGCGTGCTCTTCACCACACCATCACCCTTTTTAAGACCCAGTATTCATTTTTAGATAATATTCGACCGAATAGACTACGTTCAGCACGCAGCGAAGAAAATATAGCCGCCGGAGCTTAAAGTGTACACGAAGACCGCGGAGAGTCGATTCGGCGCCGTTCGCAGCAACTCGGTCTGACATATGGAAGGACTTTGATCTTAAATTGATAGCGTACGAAATACAGGATGTGCAAGAACTGTAGAAGAACCGACGTTTTCGAAACAAAAAAAATAAAATTGCCGCATTTGTGAGGAAGAGCAACCCGGAGAGAATCAAGAGCTGCCATATTATCCAGAAAAAAGAACAGTTTGGTGTGTTTTGTGTGGCGGTGAAATCATCGGTCCATATTTCTTCAAAAATGATGCCGTTTGAGAACGTAGCCGTTAATGACCACCGTAATGACGCTGACTATTTGATACCTGAAATTAAAGCTCGTGAGCTCGGCAATATTTGGTTTCAACAAGAGGGCGCCACATCACATCAATCGAATAATTTAATGAGAAACACTTCGTTGAGCAGATTGGCCACTAAGGTCGTATGATAACACACTGTTAGACCTTTTCCTGTGAGAATATGTAAAGTCTAAGGTCTATGCGGGCACTCCCGTTTCGATACAGGCCTTGGAGCAAAACATCACTCGTGTCTTTCGTCAGTTACTAGTCGAAATGCTCGAACGGGTCATCGAAAATTGGACTCAACGGATGGCAATCTGAAACATATGTATAAGCGGCCACCATTTCAAAGAGATAATCTTCAAAAAGTAAATGCCAAATAAAGTTATTTCGAATGACAATAAGTATTCCTCATTAAATTTCAAGTTTCTGTGTTTTTTCTTTAAACAAGTAGGGAACGTGGAAATGGATCATCCTTTATATATTTAGCTTCCGAACCGACACTAAACTTCTTCAATAAGAGCAAATTAAGGATTCTCACTCTAGTGAACTCACGTTTCACCGTTTAATTCACTTTTATTTATCGTATACAAGTTTACAGTTTGCTTAGATCCTTAACAGTTTGTGGCGAGCTGTGCTGCTCACTTGCCACCACCGCCACCACCACCACCTCCGCCGCCGCCGCCGCCGCCACCGCCACCTCCTCCTGGATAAGGCTCAGGATTTGGCAAAGGATTGGGATTGGCTGCAGATAAATATTTTTTTAAGAATTATCAATTGTTAAACGATATATCAAATATATTTACCAAAAGCCACAGCGAGTAAGGCCAGCATGAAGCCGATGAGCAGTTGGAAATTCATATTGCAAGAGTTGCAAGTGCAATGGTTGCCCTAACGTTTATGAGTGCTTTTTATACACTTGGCTAGGTTCTAGCTAGAAATATTCTTGATTTGTGCAATGAATATGAAAACGATTAGCAAACTATTTACCATACTTCTTAAACGTTCCGTAATACGCATTTAAAACGAGTATTGGAAATAACAAGCGGTTCTTCCCTTGGCTATAAGTTAATAGCGAATATATAAACGTAGGTGTGTACAAATGTATATTTGTCGGTCGATAGCAGTGTTTTAAATAAATTTCTAGGGATGGACATTTAATGTGCATATAATGAAATTTATTTAACTGTTCGTATGATTTAATAAACGTTGTCGTTTCAATAAAAATGCTAAGCTTACGGTGGGCCGTTTGCATGCCAGAGAATGTGGCCAATGAAATATTTTATTTTGAAGGGAGCATTTAAAAAATTAGGCGTTCGCTATGGTGTTGAAGATGGCTGAGCTGAAATGCCATTGCGGGTCTTATGTTCAATTCCTGTTTCTTTAAAAGTTGCTGATCGTCGACAGACAATGGCAAAGCTCAAGATTATTTATGCTATGAAAATGTTTCTCGCAACACGCACAAGAATAATATTTTCTTTTTTGTGCTTTTTAAATGAAGAAGTTAGCTTGATGTCTCTTTCAGCACTTACAAATCTCAGATGCTTTCATTTACTTTTGACTGCTACAAAATTTGCAAAATCTATTTGAATTATTTTAAGATTTCTTTCCTAATAAAGAACTTCTTTATCGAGTCTTCTAACTTTTTATCATATTGTTGAAAGTTTAATATTATATAACACATAAATCTTTTATAATGTTTAAATATCGGAAACTAAACACTCTTAAATGAATTCGATATTTCTTGCTAATCTTCTTTAAATATGTTTTTTTAATTGCAGAACCATCACTAATCGTTAAAAATTCAAGGCACAAACTATTTTTTTTAATTAATTTATAACCTAACGCCTGTTTTCAGCTTTGCCACCTTATGATCAAAATTGTTTAAATCCAATAAAAAAAAATATAACTGAAATTAAGGGATATTCCTTCTCTTATAATGGTATGTCTGTATATCAAAAATGGGTTGAATCGGACCATACTTCCTTTATCCCCATATACTTAATATAAATATTTTCGAACTACCGAGTGACTTTGTACCGGATATATCGGCCAATATGTGAGTTATCTCAATGAAGGTAAGAAGATGTTTTGTTCATAACAGTGTATCTTTGTGCCTAAAATTGATAATTTTGAACGAAACCTTGGAACACCCGGCTGACCTTACTCAATATGATTGGTTTTACACCTTAAAGTAGTTATCTGGCTTTGATTCTTGCAAGTTGCTGAGTATAAAATGTTCGGTTGCACCAGAACTTAGCCCTTTCTTACCTGTATTGAATTAACAATATGGCGCTCACAGAAAATTTTTTGCAGATATTCCAGAAAAAAACAAAATTAATTGTTTATAAAATATCGAAACAAAACAAAAAACAAACCATGGTCAGACTACTCAAAAAACTCTAATTTTTCGGAACAGTTCGTAGAACATAAAAACCGATATAAAAATGTTATAAATGTAGTATATCCATTAAGTAAAACATCCAACGCATTGGAGGAAAACTTTTCAATACAAGAACTTGATGGAAGAGTTTTCAGCTTGTAAATTGATGATGCTGATGGCTTAACCGCTAGTGCTAAATATGCATATCTAAATTGTAATTGTAATTAATTTACTTTTTTAAATTTTTATTAAAAGAACAAAAAATAAATAAAAAAAAAACAAACATAAGCTCGGGTGTAACCGAACGTTTTCTACTCCTTCAACTTGCAAGAAATTTTATTTAGTCGAAACCGGTCTGTCGGACTCCTGGATGTGTGATTTCACCAAAAAGTAAGCGGTGCCTCACCCATCGTGAAATTTAATATCTTTGGCGTAATTAATTATTGATTTATTGCGCTTTACCGTTATATGGGGAGTAGAGGGTGAAATCTTCCGATTTCATCCATTTTCACACTGTTGGAGTTCTTATAATAATTGCACACTAAAAATTTGGTTGCTGTAGCTTTAGTAGTTTAGGAGATACCTACCGCCCCAAATGCTCCTTGCTACTGTGATCTCATGTGCCAAATACAGTTTTATATCTTAATTTAGTGTTTAATTATGGCGCTTTATATGTTTTCCGTTAATGGTGATTTTTGGAGTGGCAGTGGTCCGATGACGCCCATCTACGAAGTTATATGTGTTTCTGTACTAAGGAGTCAAGTTTTATCTAGATATCACAATTTTTATGAAAGTTAAAGCTTGCACGCACAGACGGACCAACATTGTGGTTGTGTTATTCTTCCAAATCAATTTCATCCCCTTCAAAATAATCCCCTCCCGATGCAATGCGCTTATGCCAACGGATTTTCCAATCTTCGAAAAACTGGTTGTAGTCACTTTCCGGGATGGCCTATAGTTCCCTTTTCGCTGCGGCTTGAATCTCCTCTAGTATAAAAACGGTGTCCCCGGAGCGGTCTTTTCAGCTTGGTAAACAGCCAGAAGTTAAGTTTTTGGCGAAATGATCACGAATTACGAGGGCAGTATGGGATGGTGCATTATCGTGGTGTAAAAACCAAGAATTGGCTTTCCACAATTCCGGCCTTTTTAGGCGGATAGCGTTACGCAAACAACGCATAACATTCAAATAATATTCCTTGTTGACTGTTTGACCGGTTGGGAGGAATTCATAATGCACAACACCGCGATAATCGAAGAAAACAGTCAACATGAACTTGAGTATTGAGCGATTTTGGATCAATTTTTTTTGTATGGGCTCTCTTTTGGCACGATATTCGCTCGATTGATCGGTTGTTTCGGGGTCGTAAGCATAGATCCAAGTTTCATCGCCAGTTATAATGCATTTCATGACACAATGGTAGTCGGAAAGCATCGTTTCACATACTTCAACGCGACGCCTTTTTTCCAATTCAATGTTTTCGGTACCAGTCGAGATTTGACGCGCTTGTGGCCCAAAACAACCTTCAAAATGGTATTGGCTGAGCCTTTCGACTTGCCAGCTTCATCAGCAAGGTCTCTAATTGTTAGTTGACGGTTTTTCAACACCAAATCATTGATTTGTTGAACGTGAGGTTCGTCGGTTGAGGTTAATGGTCGCCCTGGACGTTCTTCGTCTTCGAAACGTTCACGGCCGGCTTGGAAACATTTTTATTTAGACATAGCCTCATCACCAAACGCTTTCTGCACCATCCTCAATGTATTCGCAACAGAAAATTGATTCCGTAAACCAAATTAATGCAAATTCTTTGCTGAACAAATTTCGACATCGCAAAAAAATGAAAAACTCACTTTTAGCAGCTCAAGAAACGACACATATCTCAAACACTAACGAATATGTTTACATGAAATTTAACATAAATGTGACTGACAGTACTACCAACCTAAATAAAAAATAATTCTCCAAATTCTTCGACGCCCGCAGTTTAAATTCAAATGTTACCTTATTTTTTGGGCACAGTATATACCCTATATCTATTTCGTTTAGCTTTAGGAGATACATACAACTGTTTGTTGAACAAAACTATTCTACTCTGTAGGAAAAAGTTGCAAGAGTATAAAAATATAAATTATAACATCGTTTATAGAACATCGGCTATATATAATACCCATGACCCATTCATCAACTTAGCGATAAATATTTTACTGGAAAATTAAGTAAAATATTATACTGGGTACATATACATGTTTTCGAATTAATTTCCTAGTTATCCAGTAAACCATCTTCCAATAATTAATGTAATGGAAACTCATATACAATAATTTTTTGACAGTCAGTTACTACTTACTTAGAAGTTGCTGATGCATTTCGAATTCTAATCGTCTTATTACTTGAAAACATTTAAAAAATTACAAGTTATTCCAAGGAAATATTTTATTTCTTCCTCCACTTTAATATTTTTTAATTTGTTATCGCTTTCTGCTGGAAATAAACAAAATCATAAACAAATTTTTTACAGTCTCAATTAAAATTTTATTGTGTCAAACTGTGCTTCTGTTCCACTGTAGCTTTACATTCGTAAACGTTGCTTCATTTCTGGTAAACAATAAACACTTTCATCACAAAGGTAAATTACCCGTATTTCTATGTGTACATATCTACATATGCACCAGTATATATTCGCCATAAAATTTCTATGGAAATAATTAAACAATAATATAAATTTTATTACTTCTATATACATATCTACATTTGTTTTATAAACGTGAGCAAATCAATTACAATCACATAGACATGCAATAAATTGACATAAACATAATTTCAAATTGAGACAAAGTGGCGGTGATTGATTGTTGCAGTTTAATTTGCATTTTCATTGCAATTTATTGTAATTTCATTACTGAACTACAAACGCAAGTAAATATGTAATTAAATAAGTTTTGCAAATACTTGAGTCGCACGTGTAGTTTTTCTATGAAACAAGAAATACCTTTGAAGTTTATTTTTTATAGCATAAAACAGCATATAAAGATATGTTATTATGTCATTTGTATGCTATAGTGCTTTCTGAATAATATGTTCGGAGATTGTTGAGTTGGAAAGTTCCTTTGAGCTTATAGAAAAAGCTTGTTTTAAAGAAAGCGAAGACTATTAAATATAATAATATGGGAAATTTTACTTTCTTACTTTACACTTCGCCGTGGCCAACGCGCAAAGGACCATAAATCTTTTTTCTCTTGAAAACCCCCAAACGTCGCCAGCAGGACGGGAATTATAAGTGACTTGTAGAGTTTGGTTTTTGTTCGTCGCAGGAGGACTTTGCTTCTCAATTTCCTACTCGGTCCGAAGTAGCACCTGTTGGCAAGTGTTACCCTGCATTGGATTTCCTGGCTGACATTGTTGCTGGTGTTTGTAATGGTTCCAAGATAGACGAAATTATCTACGACTTCAAAGTTATGACTGTCAACAGTGACGTGTGTCAATTTGGCTTTCACGGGTGTTATCCAAAATTTTGGGCATGGTGAATATTTGGTCGGTTGTTGCTTTGCCAGGTCTAAAGCCACACTGATAAGGTCCAATCTTTCCTTTG